CCCTCCGGTCTCCCCAGCCTTGGCTCGCAAGTGGCCCCCTCTCGCGGGGGAAAGGGTCTGCGGTCCCACGGCCCCGTCCACTCCTTGGAGTCTCGGCTGAGATTCCCAAGCCGGGCATTGGCTAGTAGGGTGGCCAGGTGTCCGGTTTGCAACCGGACAGTCCGGTATTTGAGCTTCCTGTTCGGGAAACAAATGGAGAAAATCGAAATGAGAAAATAGAACTGTCCGGTGTTTTCTAATCGATGGTGATGTCACGTCAAGTGTGTCCGGTATTTTTGTTGAACCATCTGGCAGCCCGGCTAGCGCGAAAGGCCCTGTTCGGCTGTGAGATGGGGACGCTCGTCAGCGGGGAACTGGAGGGAGGCCACCAGGAGGCGGCCATTTTGATTCACCGTCCTCCAAGCCTGGACTGAAAATAGAACTGTCCGGTGTTTTCTAATCGATGGTGATGTCACGTCAAGTGTGTCCGGTATTTTTGTTGAACCATCTGGCAGCCCGGCTAGCGCGAAAGGCCCTGTTCGGCTGTGAGATGGGGACGCTCGTCAGCGGGGAACTGGAGGGAGGCCACCAGGAGGCGGCCATTTTGATTCACCGTCCTCCAAGCCTGGACTGTGACTTTCATCCCTTAACTGGTTAAACGTTATTTGTAACCAGTTAACTGCTAAATGGGGTTGGGGGGCTGGAGCACCCCTCCCGGTAGCTCACCGGGCCGGGCCTGCAATGGGCAGACCCCCTGCCCACACGGGGTGGGGGGCTGTTGCAGCCCCCACCGGTTAACCGTAATCGGCACGTCTCACCCTGTGCGGTGAGGCTCACCAGTGAACCGGTTCACCAGTCGCATCCTGACAGAGAGCGCTAGATCTTCAGAGCCTGAGCCCACCCACGGGAGAGCCGGCATGAAGACGATACAGGTGGCAGTTTTCAACCATGCCACCTCCCAAGCTACAGCTGTAGCATCTACACCAGTGGTCCCCAATGTGGTGCCCACGGGCGCCATGGCGCCCACCGGGCCATTTCTATGCGCCCTCTGAGTGATTGGGGCCGGCCCTGCCCCATGGCACGTGGGGAATGGGCGGTGTCAGCCCGGGCGCGCAGCACAGGGGCAGTGCTGGCCCTGGGCATGCAGCACATGGGCAGCCCTCCCCCCAGGTACACGGCGCAAGGGCTGTGCCAGCCCCAGCCATGCGGCATA